TCCGAAAGGTAACGACATTTAGAAACCTTTTCATTTTACACATAAAACCTTCTAATCCTAACTTTTTTTTCCTAAACACTTGCGCGTCGATATATTAGACGAAGGAAACAATATAGTTTACATGCATCTGGCCTCTTACTAGCAGCAAAGACAAAAACGAAAAATATAAACCAAGCTAAACACAAAAGCAAGGAGGGATACTTAGTGAAAATGAACTCCAAAGCAGAAAGAGGCCAAGTAGGGTCCACCAGGAGCTAGGGCCAAGAGGACGCCGAGGTGTCGAGCCCTAGCTTCGATCCAAAAAGATGAGAGCCTCTCTTGAAGGATAGTGCTGATCGAGTGGGCTTGAAATGACACGAAAATACCGTCGAATACGTGGGCATTTCCGCTTCTTTAAGAGGTTCCAGGCAACAAGAGATAACAAGTGAATCGAAGCCTTGCCTCGCAGATTCGGACATGCTCTTCCTCATGGTTGTGTTGGAGATCTAAATTACATCTCAATGATTTAGCCTATACATAATCAGTTAATCACCTCTGCTTCAATGCGGAAACTTAATCTACTACTTGAGATGCCATCAGTGTTTTTCCTCTTTCTTCTTCTTCGATTTTTTTTCTCCTTTTCTTCTTGATACGCCAATTCTTTCACCGTCATCACCTCACGAACCCCTTCCAACGCTAAGCTGATCAGGCGATTTAGGGTTTAGGTAGAGAGCTCGGCGTCCCTCCTCTGCCCTTCATCTCTTTATATAGGCGCATTGGTGGGGGCTCGGGGGTTATCTCGAAATTTTGTTAGAAATTAGTTTTTACCAATCACAAAAACTAACTCTATCTCTTTAGGAATCGGACAAGTGGAATTTATTCTTTCCTTAGCTAATTGGTATTTAGCCGATAAAATCAACCAACAGGTCGGTCACCAATTTGGTGGGGGAACGAAGATCGGTTGCTTGGAGATGAAAGGTGAAACCGGTTGTAAGCGTATGACGTTGTATTAAAAAAAAGAGGAGGGAGTATAAAAATATCTGCGCGCACACACAGAAACTAAAGAAAAAAAAAGAAGAGATAAACTTAAAAACAACATAGCGTGAATATATATGCAGAGATTGTCATGTGCAGAGAGAATTCGGAGCGAGGTAGATCTATCTAGAGACCCCACATTTCACATGATGATATGTATATATATTTTTAGATCGATGCATATGGAATAAATTCGATCAAGATTGGCTGGCTACTATCGCTCTAACTACCCCCCAATCGAAACAAAATCAGATCAGATGCTCGAGATCGATCCATCGCGGTTACTGATAATAACAACACCAAAGCAAATTGCCAAGGTAGATGCTTTGCTCTAAATTAATAATCTGATTAACCCATGCATATATGCGTTTGCAACTATATATTATGCAAGTCGTAGTCACCAATATGCTTAACAAACAAGAGTAATATAATTGATGCCGTTATATCAATTAAGTAATGAACATAAACCAAAGTAATATAATTAATGGCATTATACCAATTAAGTTATGCACATGGAAGAAATTAAAACACAAGCTAGACTGCTGGACAAAACAATACTGTATTTAGCTACTGTGCATAGTACGGAATACTAGTATTTTATACTTCATCCGTGTTTTAATATAACGCTGTTATTCGTCTTATTAAAAAAATATATTATTATCATTTATTTATTGTGACTTGATTTATTATCCAATGTTCTTTAAGCATAACATAAATATTTTTATATTTACACAAAAATTTTAAATAAGATGAATGGTTAAACGTTGGTTAAAAAGTCAATTGCGTCCTACCCTAAATACGAAGGGAGTACTTAATTTGTACACATACGTACATGAGGTGTCGGTAGGAGTAGTGGTGCAAAAAAAAAAAGTTTAGCATCTAGAAGGTGCACGTGGCAGCCGATTAGACACTCTGAGATCTCAAGTCTGAATGCATGACCACCTCATATGAAAATGCTATGGATACTAACATCTCAAATCTGATCTTAAGATAGCTCAGTGTATCTGTTGCCAATGTGACTTTTATAGCAGTCGTATAACGTTGGCATATAGCTATTATGATCTTTCATATTTCAATGAAAAGTCAAGGATTAAGCATCGTTATTGATTAGAAATATGTAAGGACAATGTAGAAAAATGAAGGCACTATTATTGGCTATATTAGGTGCATGAAACATTTTTCAACGAATAATATACAACCACACATGAAAATAACATTGTGTGGTGGTTTATGATGTGCGAAGAAGAAATAGTAGGACTTTTATAATTGTAATTAATTGAGCACATAGCTCATGCTGATGCTATATTTTTTTAGTGTAGGATTTTAATGTTTTCACTAAAAATTTTTTTAAAAAATATTAATGTAGGATTTTAGTGTAGTATTTTTTAAAAAATATATTAATGTTTTTTAAGTGTATGATTTTAATTTTTTTTCATTTATATATTACAAAATTATCACAATCAAAATATGCATATATATATATATACATATATATATAGATATATATACACACATATATATATATATACATATATACACATATATATATACACACATATATATATATACATATATACATATAGTATATATATATATATATATATATATAATTGTCTCTAGCCCAGCAGAGAAGTACTCCCTATGTCTTTTTATATGATATTGGCTAGTTCAAATTTTAACTAGCCAGTGTCATATATATATATATATATATATATATATATATATATATATATATATATATATATATATATATATATATAATGAAGGGGAGAGTAATATATAACAAGAACCTCAAGACAAAATTGCTGGGATCAATATATCACCTACGCTGGTACATATCCTGATGTTCATGAAAAAAAAAGGAGGTCTGGCTCTAGATAGAATCCAAAAGGTTGACACTTGGCTCCATTCCAAACAATGATGCATCATTTTTGGATAAACTGCCAAGTAATAAAGTAATGTGATTGATTTGAAATAAATTATTAGAGGAGTGCTAATGACAATTATATATTATCCTACAATCAATCATATCTTTTAGAAAAGTGAAAATAGTAATGAAATAACGTCATCCATCATGTGAAAGACAATCCACGCAAGCGGATAAGACTAAATACACATTATTGTGCGTTACGGTCGATCCAATGAGAGTGATCTATTTATTCAAAATATAAAATTTCTAGCGTTTAAATCTTATTCTAAAATACAAAGATTTCTAGCGACAGTATTACATGTCCCTTTTCATTCAAATTTTCTTCCTTCTTACCCCCACCTATCCTTCCACCTCCACTTGTCCCTTATTTACCAAGGCCAATAAATCTTTTCTTCTCAACATTAATTAGTCTATGCTAAATAAATTAGGAATCCTTATGTTTTAAATAGAGGTAGTACTTTTCAAGTGACAAAAAAAAAACAAAAATCAACCGAGAACTGTCCACATACAGGGAGCGACATAAGCTCATGACACCTAGCTACAGCATCGATCATCTCATTTTCAAAACGAAGTCAAAGCAGAGCACATCAACCCTAGCAAAAAGCCCCACGAGCTCAAATTTCAGACGAATCAGCTAAGTTACACACGTATCTCCATCTCGATGTCGCGAAAACAACGTCAAACAGTCAACACAAGGTGGGGAAGAAATTAACCGAAGAAAGAATCGCCGGCTGCTAGCTTCCAAGTTCCAACCCCTCTCTCTCTCTCACTGGCAGCTGGGCCCCACAAGTCCCATCCTCCTGGGTCCACCCCTAACGCGGTGCTAGACTGATCAATATTATCTCCATTCCACGAAGAATTCGTTTCATTTCTATCGTTTAAAATCTATCCCACTAAAACTTTAATTGTAAAGGTAATATCATATTAGTATAAGACATATGCATTAAAGTGTAGTAGAAAAATACTCCCTCCATTCCAAATTGATCTACATATTTCATAGGTACACTAAGACCAAGAAAAGCTAATAACTCTCTCATACTACATTTACTCTAGCAACAAACTCAATGCATGCACCATCCCCACTATTTCCTATCCAATAGCAAATCAAGATATTGCATGTGGGTTATAGATACTTGTGTGCATGGATGCATGCATCAATGTCCATTTACTCCAATGCACAAATAACGAATAGACTTAATAAATGAACACAAATATGTAGATCATTTAGGAATAATCTTAAAATATATATATATAGATCAATTTGGAATGGAGGGAGTAATAAGAGTGTCATTACCATGAGGTATTATTTTTATGTTTCCAAGGATATCATATAAGCAACAAAATATTTAATTGATGACTGAAAATAACTTATATAGCTCGATAGGTTAGATTACTTGTGATGGAAATAGCCCATACCCAAGTCCAAATTCTAGATTTAACACGAGCGCTCGTATTTATGACTAATTATTCTTTCGCTAGACGTTCGTGGTGACTTCGTCAATCTAAAAATGTACAATTATGGGCATCTATGTATGTACTATCTTCATTCCAATTTAAGTGTAGTCATGAGTTTTCGTGTTCAACGTTTGACTGTCCGTCTTATTTAAAAACTTATGAAATAATTTTAAAAAAGTCACAAATAATATACTATTCATATTTTATCATCTAATAATAATAATAATAACAATTATATTTGTTTTAAATAAGACAGAAGATCAAATATTATATATAAACAGTAGAACTACACTCTTTTTGGACGGAGGTAGGACTGTGTTTCTCAGAAAAACTTGTACAATCCTTAGTTTTACCACGTTATTACAAATGCTGATGTGACAGCCTTCCCAATGACAATGAAACACCCATTAAAAGTAACCTAATATATGAACCAACATGGTTATTATTCCCATTCTATTTTTTTTCTTCTAGGTCGCTCAAAATTAAATGAAATCTTCTAGACGTAGAGAGCACTAAATTACTAGTAATTACCGCTAGTAATCACGATAATAGTATGGCCTAGGAGTAGTAAAATATTTCCTTAGCTGAGAAGAAGGGAGAAGCGTCGACGAAAACGCCTTCTTCTTCTTCCTCCTCCTTCGCCGCCGCCCACCGCGCCATCGCCTATACATACCCACCCCCCACCCACCTCCTTGTAAGTTGCAACCTCCCGCCTCACCCGCCGCCATTGACGACCACCGCGCTCGTCCCATCCCATGCCTGCGGCCGTGACCGCGAGGTTGTGAGGAGAAGAGAGTCCCAAGAGAGGAGGATCGATGCGGCAGCGGCAGGCCGGCGAGCAGGAGGCGGAGCTGTTCGTCCAGTGGAGGCCCTGCGACAAGAAGCGGTCCTAGTCGCCCGCCGCCGCTCGCCCACTCGCCGGCGTCGTCGATCTGAGAGGGACAGGGGAAGAGGAAGAAGCAGAGGAGGAGGAGGATGAGCGTGTCGGGCGGGAGGACGCGGGTGGGGAGGTACGAGCTCGGGAGGACGCTCGGCGAGGGCACCTTCGCCAAGGTCAAGTTCGCCCGCAACGCGGACTCCGGCGAGAATGTCGCCATCAAGATCCTCGACAAGGACAAGGTCCTCAAGCACAAGATGATCGCCCAGGTCAGCTCACCCATACTATTTTCTATCCCCCCAATCGATTCTCGATTTGGAGAGGTCTCCATGGATTTCTTCCCATGATGATAGTACTGTTCGAATTTCTCGCCTTCTTGTTTTTTTTTAATCATATCATACGCTGTTCTTGAGTGAATTTCGTGGACAATTTCAATTCCTATACGTACGAGTCCCAAATCATGAACAGTTTGTACTACTGCTGTTTTGTTTCCTCTCACGACAAGACGTGATGATTTTGTTTTAACCAGAAACAGTAAACATTACTAATTACTACTAGCGTTCTTGCTGCAAAAAAAAAAAGGTTTGGTATCGTTCCAAAATTGCGTTCTTACTTCCAAAATTGCAACAGCCTAGACTTTGACGTGAGGTTAGCACGGGCGCCTCGTGCAGTGTTCGTTGGAACTTGTGCTGAGTTAGTTATTATTAATGTGCATCAACTTTGGCTTAGCTTCTGACTTTTTGTGGGGGAGTTCTGACTTTGATGTGTGTTTGTGGTTTGTGTGGTGGTGTTTGCAGATAAAGCGCGAGATCTCCACCATGAAGCTCATCAGGCACCCCAACGTCATCCGGATGCATGAGGTTTACTAATCTCCAATCATTAATCTCAGCTCATCTTGCCCATGGAAAAATTTTGTAACTGATGATAAGTCCACCAATGAAATCGACTAATCATAAGCAGAGCTCGTGATTTTGGTTCGAAATTTTCGAAATTTCGGGTCTACCAGTGGGTCCTGGTTGGATGTGATTCCCAGTCTTGAATTGTGGATTTTTTTTTTAATTTTGTAAAATTTGTTCGAATTCAGCTAGAGCCTGTTCAAAATTCATTTTTTTTCTGGTTTGAAACTTCTGAAAAATTTTGGTCCCCCCCAGATTTTTTTTTTCTAGGCCGAGATTGTGAACCCTGCTAATTAAGTTAAGATATGGTTCTCAAGGCTTTGAGCAATCTGAAATTATGAAAAACCAGGGTAAATTAAATTGGTCAAGGATGACATAATGAACAAGTTGTTCCTTCACATGAAAAGTTGCAATTAGAGATCGTTCTGGAAGGAAATTCCTGTGACACTAAACTATGTGTTATCTGAAACTTTCCTAGCTCTTGCTTTCTGATATTTTCCTTTTGTTGTCTTGGCTTTATGTCGATCTCCACTTAGTGGTTTTGTTTTCTTCTCTGAAGGTGATGGCCAGCAAGACCAAAATATACATAGTGATGGAGCTTGTCACCGGTGGTGAACTTTTCGACAAGATTGTGAGTGCTTGGCCTTTTCTATCGACATCTGAATTACTCTTTATGCTATGCACACATGTTCAATTTGTCATAATTCCTGTTATAGGCTTCGCGTGGGAGGCTGAAAGAGGATGATGCAAGGAAGTATTTTCAGCAGCTGATCAACGCTGTCGATTACTGTCATAGCAGAGGAGTCTATCACCGGGATCTCAAGGTTAGCGGCGTTTAACTGTTTGCGGTGTTTACTACTGCTATGCAAGAGAGCCGAGAAGCAGTGAATTGATACACAAATTCAATTTCAGCCCGAAAATCTTCTGCTTGATGCTAGTGGCACTCTCAAAGTATCAGATTTTGGGCTGAGTGCACTGTCTCAACAAGTCAGAGTAAGTAATTTGACTCTTCCTATTTATTCTTTTATTATCTTTTTGTGGAGAGTTTCCTTTTATTCAAAGTGATGAAAAGCCGAGAGTTGTTAGTCGTAAAAAAATTAGCATTTCAATTGCTTTCTGTAGATTCCATTTGTTTTCTACATCTTTTCACATGGTAATACAGATAGTTTCAGATCCATCTGAATAAAGTTCTTACATTAGTGCTGCATATCTTTCTGTTTACTCTGCAGGAGGATGGTCTGTTGCACACTACCTGTGGAACTCCTAATTATGTTGCTCCCGAGGTACCTTCTTACACTCATACATTAAACTAGTATATAGTTATTATCATCGTTGGATTGAATATTTGTTTTCATGTTACTTATCTAAAAAAATATTTGTTCTCATGTTTCAATAATATTGTCTGTGCAGGTTATCAACAACAAAGGATATGATGGAGCCAAGGCTGATCTGTGGTCATGTGGAGTGATTCTCTTTGTCCTCATGGCAGGCTACCTTCCATTTGAAGACTCAAACCTCATGTCACTTTACAAGAAGGTTGGTCCCTCTTAACCATGTCAAAGGATTGTTGGTTTATGAACCCTAAACAAAGTTTTTGTTTGGAAGATTAATGTGATTATTGCTCATCCAGATCTTCAAAGCAGACTTCAGTTGCCCGTCTTGGTTCTCTACAAGTGCGAAGAAGCTCATCAAGAAAATACTAGATCCTAATCCTAGCACCGTATGTTTTGCAGCATTTTAACCTTCATTTCTTTGGAGCATTCTTATACATAAGTAGCTTATCCCATCGTTATCTCCTTGTGCAGAGGATTACCATCGCAGAGCTTATCAACAATGAGTGGTTCAAGAAGGGATATCAGCCTCCAAGGTTTGAGACAGCAGATGTTAACCTGGATGATATCAACTCTATTTTTAATGAATCTGGGGTAAGCTCTCACACCATTCAGCTCATAGCATTACATTCTTCATAATGCACTGGATGGGCTTGGTAACATCTATTCTAACTAACGCAGGACCAAACACAGCTTGTTGTCGAGAGGCGAGAAGAGAGGCCATCAGTGATGAATGCTTTTGAGTTGATCTCTACATCTCAGGGTCTCAATCTTGGCACACTCTTTGAAAAGCAATCGGTACGATCACATTCTTAAATTGGTCATTCTGAAGTCTGAACTAAACATGTTCAAGTACACTTACAGTCATGAGTTATAATCTAAAATGCTAAACCAATTTTCTTTCTACTTTTAGCAGGGTTCTGTGAAGCGAGAAACAAGATTTGCATCAAGGCTGCCTGCAAACGAGATATTGTCGAAAATTGAAGCAGCTGCTGGACCCATGGGCTTTAATGTACAGAAGCGCAACTACAAGGTAACTAATCCAAAATTCCACAACTTGTTTCTACCATTTTTATCTGAAACAATTAACATTCTGATGACACTTTTATGGATTGGAATCAGCTGAAGTTGCAAGGAGAGAATCCAGGAAGGAAAGGTCAGCTTGCAATTGCAACAGAGGTACACCAATGATACAACATCACTATTTACTATGTTCTGTCATTCTATATGCTGTGCAGCTTGTGCTACTACTCTTTCCTGGGTTTATAGACTGAAATCAGTTCATCCATTTCTAAAGGTTTTTGAAGTCACGCCCTCGCTGTACATGGTTGAGCTCCGCAAATCTAACGGCGACACTCTTGAATTCCATAAGGTACACATAACAGTAAAATTACTGCAGGACCTCACAGTTCATACTTCAGACTGGGATTCGGCTAACTCATGGTGTAATTTTTTACGCGTTTCGCAGTTCTACCACAACATCTCCAATGGCCTGAAAGATGTGATGTGGAAGCCGGAGAGTAGCATAATCGCAGGCGATGAGATCCAGCATCGGAGGTCACCGTGATTGGCAGTTTGGCACCAAAAGTTCAGTGATAGTATAAAGTAGATAACCAGCCAGGAAAACCTACTAAGGAATGGCCTGTGGCTGTTTTTTTTTTTTTGGTTCTTTTTACCTTTTAAGTTGAGTTACTATCTAATCTAGACATGGTTGTAAACAAAGTTTGTATGGAGATGGAATGTGAATGAAGAATGTGCATAGTTTTGCTTCCTTGACTTATTTTAAAAGCAGTAACCTGTGAAATCCGATGAATGAAATTGAAATCTGCAGCAGGATGCCTGACGATCGTAGAAGACTTGCAGCAGATATGAGATTACATATATCCTCTTTATTTCAGTTTTGATGCAATTCGTAAATCGCAAGGCTCCCATCGGATGGCCTATTCAGCCAAAGAAAAAGCCAAAATTTAAATTTTCAAACTTAATTTTGACATTGATTTTGAGATATTTTCAACGTAGTTTCTTTTTGAGCATTGACTTTTAAGTCACCGAGAACACATATATAAAAGTTTTACCTACAAATTTATTTTTATACTCTAATAAGCCGTTTAGGAAAAAGCAACCGATGAGCCCCAACAATCGAGAGCGATCTCCAGGAACAGATAAACTGCTTGCTCTCTGCGTGTTCATGTTCACCGGAGAGTGCGGCTCCGTACACTGTTACGTCGCCGGCGGCAAATCAGGCGGCGCAGCGTCTGCCGGCTATGGCTGGTGGCCGGAAGCGCGCAGCTAGCGGCGGAGGAGCTTCTCCGGTCGCCAGAGTCGAGCACGACGTCCGTACGCCCGGCCCGACCCGGCCCCTGTACATACATTGCCAACAAATCTCGGCCCGCTTGAGGGAAAGATAATAGGCCCATCTAAACTTGGCTCGCTACCAATGACCATGGAAAAAATCCCATATGATTAACTTGTCGGATCTGATTTGTGGGTCCTACTTTATTTCTAGGGCAGGTTTAGATTCCCTGGCAAGTTTTTTCACCCTATCACATCGAATGTTTGGACTAGGGATGACAGTCGGGCACGGGCAGTGAGATAATTCATGTCCGCGGGTATACCCGTTACTACATGACGGGCAAGGAACACTATCCATGCCCGTTGCCCGCGTTTACCCATCACAGACTCACGGTTCAACGCTTTAACCCCAAACAGAGAGACATTATCACAGTTTAAAGAAAGGTACAGTTGTACCAAGTTCAATAATACAAAGCATTACAAGTTCATCATTACTGGATGGTGGCATTTATACTAATTTAACTGAGGGACCACATGTCAGTCAGTTTTTGTGGGTAAACGGGTGAACCATGCCCGTATACCCGTTGGGTATAGGTTTTGACCCAATAAAAAACCCATGGGTACTAAATGGAGAACAAATCCAACTCTATTAGTGTCGACGTTTTATGTCGTGATTCCGGTATTTGCATAGTATGGGGATCGTTGGTACTAGGATATACGCGAGACTGAGGTAAAAGAGATGGAGACGGGGATTTTTATACAGGTTCGGGCTCCTGAATTGTCAGGTAATAACCCTACATCCTGTTGGCCGAAGCCGGTATTGCTCTTATTCACCATAATCATACCAGTACAATATTTGGGGTAGCCTATCTAACTGTTGTCGACATGGCGGTTTGAAGGTCTGACTCATAGTCGACAATAGGGTAGTCTTCCTCCTCGAGTTTGTGCTCGGCGAGATCAGAGATAGCGCTTTCGTCTCTCCTGACAGTATCCGGAGACACCGTAGGGGACTAGCCGTGCCTATCTCTGAAGTCGATATCCGGCGTCTTGTCTTGGCGTATGTTAGCTTGTATGTTGATCTTCTGTCTTGACCTATTGTTCCGTGTATGTTGATTGTGGGTGGCTTCCATGGTGGGTGTCTCCCCTCTCCTCCTAGGGGGCCTTGTATTTATACCCATAGGTGTCCCCTTGTCCAAGTAGAATTAGGGAAACCAATATGGATACAATCCGAGTAGTCCTTGTCGTTTCCATGTAAAACTCTGGTTGTCTTTCCTTATCCAGAACTCCTCCTATATCCGCAGGTTGTTTCCGTATAGGACATGGTATGTGGTGGATCCTGCCGAGATTTAGTCAACTACTATTAGGTACAGGGTATCTATAACCCTGACAATTAGGGTTTTTATCCATGAGTAAACGGGCAAACAAGTTAAATTGCCATCCCTAGTTCCGACACATGCATAAAGTATTAAATATAGAAATAACAATAATTACACAGATTACGTGTAAAATTACAAATCTTTTAAGCCTAATTGCTCCATGATTTGACAATGTGGTGCTACAGTAAACATTGCTAATGACGGATTAATTAGGCTTAATAAATTTGTCTCACGGTTTACAGATGGATTATGTAACTTGTTTTGTTATTAGACTATGTTTAATACTCTAAATGTGTGTCCGTATATCCGATGTGACACGATAAAATTTTTCACTCCTGGATCTAAACACAGCCTTAGTTTTTAAGATGACTAGACTGTCATGTCATAGAAAACCGTCTTTAAATGGCCAAGAGTGCCATTTTGAATGGTTTTAATAGTTGAATGAGTCGATATATCCGTCTTTGTGTATGGGGGGGGGCTATATCTGAGGTATTTTACTTGTATTGGACTTTTTTATGTTTGACACATACCAGCGACCAACTTGTCTACGGCACATTGGGCCTAGGATGCAAATGGGTCAACCTGCGAAACACATGTCAAATACTCCCTCTATTTTTTAATAGATAACGCCGTTGACTTTTTCTCACATGTTTGACCATTCGTCTTATTCAAAAAATTTATGTAATTATAATTTATTTTGTTATGAGTTGTTTTATCACTCATAATACTTTAAGTGTGATTTATATCTTACACATTTGCATAAAATTTTTGAATAAGATGAATGGTCAAACATGTGAGAAAAAGTCAACGGCATCGTCTATTAAAAAACGAAGGTAGGTAATCACAGGTTTTCGCATCATGGTCTAGCTTGCCACAACTAGATATAGAAGTGAGTCGAATCAATAAACCCATTTATAAACCAAATTACCCGCGAGACAATCTGCAGATTATCCACTAATTTTACCTATATAACGGGTTGGCCCGCTTGCATTCCTAATTGGGCCTGCCTGACCCAACGAGTAGAGCCCGTCCAGTGCCCTGACAGATACCGCAGCCCAAGTAGGGCCCATAAAACAACCCGTGGGCCCGTCTCTTGTCCGACCGTTGCTGCGTTGCTGGCAGGTGGGGCCCACAACCAGCAGCGGCCCAACTCCCAACCCCGTTCCGTTCCGTTCCCCATCTGCTCCTCCTTCCTTCCGTTCCAGCTTGACCCCGACGCGTACCCGACCCATTCACTCTCTCTCCTCTCTCTCTCTCCTCTCGCCCGCATCGGCCGCCATGCGCGAGGAGGTGCGGAGCTCGTCGGCGGCGCCGCCCGACCCGCCGCCGCGCTCGGCCTCGCCGCCCGCCACCCCCGTCGCCAGGTAACCTCCCCTCCCTCTCGCTGCTCTCTCCGTCTCTGTGCGGGGGACTCCCGCTGTGCTGCTGGTGATGATGGTGCGCTTCCGAATCGAATCGGGGGGGAGGCTTTGCTCGGGGAAGGGGACGGGTTTGGATTCGCGGCGTTTCGGCTCGCGCGTGGAAGAATTTCGGTTTTTGGTTTCGTTTGTGGCTCTAGGGATTTTGGGGGGTAGGTGGGTTGGTGGAGGGGTCTCGTAGACCTAGGGATTTAGGGGCATCTATACTAAAACCCTAGGGATTACTATCTAGTTTGTGGTAATCGAGAAGCCTCTCTTTCTTCTTTTTTTCCCGCGGAATCTTAGAATTGGGGCCTTGTAGAAGGCACTACTACCTGTGTGCCTGTAGCTCTGGGAGAAACTGGTGTTTTGTACTAGTTCGTAATTCTGGTACTGTTCTAGTGTGCGCCTTGCTCTCGCGAGCGAGCTTACTGTAGAGCTAGATTTCTGGGGTGTATGGTTTTTCTGCTGCTGTCCTATGGTCAGCTGGGCGCTTATCAGTCACTGTGGCATTGACCTTGCACCTGTTGTGGTTCTTCACACTGATGACATGTTCTTTGCACTGGTGTCAAAATACATGTTTTTGTGGTCATTTACTTACGTAGTCTCATCTTGAGCCCAACTAGTTGGATATTTGCCAAATTTGGAATGCTTACCATTTTTAGATAGAATAAACTGTTGTACTATCATTTTTTATCGTTATTTGGTTACTATGGTTGGGTTGTAATTAAAATGTTCCAATGATATATATTGATAGGATTTGTTTCAGAACAGTATAGCGTTTTCAGTGTATGCTCTCCACATAGATTCTGGTGTATGTGCATGCTGAAGCTCATTCCTCTCTTATTTACAGTTCGGCTGGTGCATCATCACCACCTGCACAAACAAATGCAGCTAGCATAGATTGGTTAGGTGGTGAGCCAATATCCAAAGTGGAATCATCATCCCAGATTGCTCCACATGCTCCTCGGCCTTCTCTTAGTACTAATGCTGCTGGAGCTGCCGTGGATTTCTCTCAACCATCTTGTAGACCATGGGAACGAGGAGACTTGCTTCGGCGACTGGCCACATTCAAGTCTTCAACATGGGCTTCTAAGCCAAAGGTCATTTCTCTTCTCTAGTTGGTCCTTTTTTGTTATTTTCTGTGATTGTAATTTGTAATTGGCAAGCCGCTCAATCTTACCCTTTTGCATTTATACCAGTTTAGAATTAAGAATAACATTTTTCGCTCAGAGGATGTATATAAGTGAATGCTGAGAAACATGATAAGGTTGGTAATGGAAGTCTGAAGCTAAAGATATACTACCTCTGTTTTTTTTATTTGACGCTTAGTTCAAAATAGAAATAACCAATGTCATGTAAATAAAAATGGAGGGAGTATAATTTTTATCCATATGCCACATACAACACTAAGTTTTGTCTCATATATTTTCTCTTTAGTCCTTTTTTGCATATTGGTAATGCTCAGGAGACATCTTGTAACTTAGATGTGTTCTTTATACCTAGCTGCTTACATATCCATGTCTAAATGAAGAATTACAATGTATAGGGCAAATGACATGTTTGCCCAAATGCCCAGCTGAAATCCAGATCAGGCATATGTTTGATAATTTTTGAACCAGTACATCACTTTCTGAAATGTCCAGCTTAGCATGTACCTTATGGTACCTAGATAAAGTTATTTTCGGCCATTTTGATGTCTCGTATTGCAAAGAGGAAAAAAATGCTACTGAAAATGACAAATCCAGTTTGTTTTAGAAGAAACTAATAGCTTAATTTTTACAGGCTGCTAGTTCACTGGCTTGTGCTCGAAGAGGCTGGGTGAACATTGAAATGGACAAAATTGCATGCGAGTCATGTGGAGCACATCTTATATTTACGGCATTGACATCTTGGTCCCCAGCTGAAGGTATGTCCTGAGTGAATGTATTTTACCGCAGATCTATGGAACTAGCTTTTTCCTGTTTAGGTTTGTCCTGCAGATGTATGGCATGCATTATTTCAATATGAATACTTGTGTTCTCACAGATAATCATGCTTGCTTGTTTCATGAAATTTTGCAACAGGAAATTCCATGTGCTTTCTTGTGCATATAATTTTTCACTGTCATCTGAATTAGACAGATGTAGTCTGAGAAATAAGTTGGTTGCTGTTGGATGAAATTATGCCTTTAGTTATTTAATGTTGTTTGTATGATGTGTTCCTCAATTGTACATACAGCATGGGAGCAGCTCTTTTATTGCATGGTAGCAAAAGTTTGTTTAGGTTCTCACTACTGCAAAACAAATTTATGTTATTAATGGAACAAAAGGGATTTGTGTTCTAGCATTCAGCATTACCAACAGTCATGACTTCTTGATTTCTTTCATACACGCTTCTCAAAATCCTGCTACCCAGTTTCATTTTTACCATACTATTTAGTTGAGATAGGCATGTGCCGTTTTGGCTATAGCATATTTCTTCTCAAGCTGAAATAAGCTCAGCTGCGAAATCTAATTTTCCCTGACTACAATCTGTATGTTATGTTGTAGTTGCTAATGCTGGGGAAGCCTTTGCGGAACAACTTGATGCATCGCACCTGGGTGATTGTCCCTGGAGAGGAAATAGCTGTGCTGATAGCCTAGTCCAATTCCACCTTACCCCATCAGCTCTTGTTGGTGGTTTCAAAGATCGCTGTGATGGACTTTTGCAGTTTATATCTCTTCCTGTTATTGCCAAATCTGCAATAGAGAGTATGAAGCTCACAAGGAGTCCTCAGATTGACCGTGTCTTATCCCAAGCAATCACTATTTTATCTGGAGAGCTGGGTTACAAAACAGACAGCACAACAGGAATTGATATCAATCATCAAGATGAGTCCTGTAGCTACTCTCAAGTAAATCTCTTGTTATTTATGCTCTCATATCTTTATTCTTTGCTGCTATAGTCCTCAGAATTTGTGGCTTTATTTAATCTAGGTCACTTCCATCTAATTTATCTAGGCACAGAAACTTATAAGCCTTTGTGGATGGGAACCTAGATGGCTTCCAAATGTACAGGACTGGGAAGAAAATTCAACCCGTTCTGCCAAACATACAGCCTCAGCTGATCCAGATCAGATCCATTCCCGTTTACCCGAGCATAAGCAAAATTCGTACTCTGCATCAGTTAAGAAAGATAAGGGCAAAGGAAAAATTCATGTAAAAGACTCTGGATGCAGCATGAGGTCACCTTTGCTTGATTGCAGCTTATGTGGAGCAACAGTGAGAATATGGGATTTCAGATCGGTGCCTCGTCCTTCTCATCTTAGTATCAATAATATTGACGCACCTGATATGCGGAAGGGGGTGCTGACACGTGGAATTAGTGCTACAAGTGGCATCAATGGATGGGTTGCTGAAGGAACAGAAAGAGAGAATGTTGAAGGACGTGGTGAGGCAGGTACCGATGAGGGAAAATCACTGTCAAATGCTCAGGTTGACCTAAATCTTACAATGGCAGGTGGTTTGCCATCTACGCATTCTGTGATGCCCTCTATGCATGATCATTTCAATGATGGAGGGATGGGAAGAGATCTGATGATTGGGCAGCCTACTGGAAGTGAGCTAGGTGGCTTTGCAGCCTCATTTGAGTCTAGGGGTCCTAGTTCAAGAAAGCGCAATCTGGAGGAAGGTGGGAGCACAGCTGATAAGCCGCTAAATAGGCTTCATCCTGCTGACAGCATAGAAGGAACTGTTATTGACCGTGACGGTGATGAAGTTGATGATGGCGCACAAGATTCAGATATTCGGAGCAACAAAAGGCCTCGTGGTTTCAATCTCTTCGATGTGAATCAACCATCTTCTTCTGGAGCTGGTCCCAGCAGAAATTTAAGTTTTGACCTGGATATAGATGTCAATAAATTTGATACATATAAAGCTGAAGGTCCATCTGCCCTTCATAACCCCTCTGCGTCGATGAGGGCATCTTCTGTTATTGCGATGGACACAGTCCACAGTGCAGAGGAAAATTCAACAGAGAGTGTTGAATACCATCCATGTGATGTTGATGACGTTCACAAGCCGTCTAGTGCTGTCAGGAGTGGTGGAATGAGTGAGGCATTGGATCTTAACTATAGCAACCAAGCACCGCAAAGCAGTTTTGTACAGCCTGCTGCTGAAAGTAATGCAAGGGAGATAGGAGGTAGTAGTATGAATGGAGGGGAGGAAGTCCTCAATGCAGAAACTGCTCCTGCTTTTGCTAGGGACCAACTAAGCCTGGGAGTTAGTGGAGGGAGTGTTGGTATGGGTGCTAGTCATGAAGCCGAAATTCATGGAGTTGATGTTTCTGAGCATAAAACTGATAGTGTTGTTGGAGATGTGGAACCAGCTCCCGAGCTTACTGAAAATATGGGCAATACTGGTGAGTCAGCCCCTGGACCTGGAATGATGGATGAGTTTGTCCCTGAAGATGTTGGCCGAGAAGAACCTCAGGGTGATAGCCAAGATGTGGCATCTCGGTTAGTGGGTAGAGCTGACAGTGGCTCAAAGATTTGTGGTTCAACTAAAGCTGATTCTGTTGAGAGTGGAGAGAAGATGAGCCATGGCATAGGTCATGAGAGTAACCTACAGCATTCCCTTTCTCGCAATGCTAGAGTTTATTCTGGCATTGATCTGTCTAAAGATGAGGTGACACAGATTGCTAAATTGCCAGCAAATGACGACTATGATCCAGGAGATGATCTTGGTACTTCAGAATCTAACTATTCTGCACCACATCCTTTCATTGAACTATATTTATCAAATCTTTTATATGTTTATCAACAGAGGGATTGGGCTGTAAGCTCCAAGAACCTTCATTTGTCAAACTTAACTTTATTAATCAGCAAAGTGTTGATAATAATTTCACAGTAGCAATTTTGGCATCCTATGCTTAAATAAAACAGCTGTCAGGCTGTCATCTGATATGCCTACACAACAATTAGAGAGGAATCCGACATAAATGCATTTGCTGTTGCAAGTTAATTCGAATACTCCGTTTTTATGTTATTCCATTTGTTTGTTGGCAGCAGCAAACGGGGGAAATGACTATGAAGCAGGTCTTCCAGAATTTGACCCAATTAGTCATCACAACAATTATTGCCCATGGGTAAATGGACATGTTGCTGCGGCTTGCTGTATCAATACTGGTTCCAGCACTAGTACCGGACTTTCCGGCTGGCAGCTTACAGTAGATGCACTGGAAACTATCCAGTCTCTTGCTCAAGCCCAAAATCAAATTATGCCGTCTGACTCTGCGGCATCACTGTATAAGGTAAGTTTTGCGCAGAATCACAAAATGCAATCCTTTGTTTATTAATGTTTTCCTAAAGACCAGCTTGAATCATTGCATGGTCTATTTGCAGGATGACCATGTGGCGCCTAGCCGCAAGCTGTTGAAAAGGGCTAGCCACAGCAAATGTTAATTGAAGCTCCTCCTATACAGACATACATTTGGTGAACTTAACTAATCCTTGTCACCAGCATTTTCACAGTTCAAATAGTTGACTGATGCAAACCTGAGCAGAGTTGATATACTATTTGCAAAATTTAGGTTCTGGCCACTGACAGTCCAGAAGAGCTTTGAAGCTATCCATGATCAGGTGGTGGAAGATGAATAAATTAAGCTTCAACTTAGTTATTGTAGAGTGTAGATGAGTCTGCCTGGCCTTTTGCCGAGTTGTGCCCCCTTTGGTTGTATTTTTGTATTTCGAACCTCTTTGTATCTATTCAAGTTACAGACAGATTATCTAGTTAGTGAGGCTAGAACTTTGAACAACCTTGTCCTTTTTCGTCAAAGACCTAACTGTGCAAATGTGCAACATTTTGTCCAATTAAGTATTAGTTTCCGTTGTATTTTGATTGCTATCAAAACTGGGTATCGTTGCCGATGCTGATCAGAGCTATCGGTGATTAGCCCTCTCCTTTGACAAGCCATTCATTCATACCTATAAATGCATGGTAACCTCGTCAATTTTCTGCTCGATCATATATCGTGCTGTTCATGACCGTGATGTCATGAACAACATTTGATGCTGAATTTCCTTGCGTGGCACTAGGTTGTTTGAAAGTGGAATTGTATTTGATAAATGCAACTTTCTGTTCCAACGTAATGCACCCTGCCCTGTTTGGATTCAGGAATTCGAAAATTAGAGTTAGATTCCTCTAGTTATGTTGAGGGTTTAGGAGAACTAATCCCCACTACTTTACATCGTATTGGCGATTCATATCTTGAACGGAAGAGACAGAGATAAGCACATCCTTTTTACTGAGAATTCGGCGACAAAGATGATTCCAACAATATGCATGCAGCCATAATAATTTTATTAAGAGAACTTTCAGTACATATAGCATGGTGGTGTCCCCAGACGCAATGTTCAAGTTGATCATGTGCAATGTTCCTGCGTATTCAAAGGCTCACAAAATAATAAGATATAGTTTCTTTTAAAAAAAAACAGATGAAAAGAAAGATAAAACCACGATCCCCAAATTCCAAAACTTTACCTCCAAGTTATATCCAGCTTAATTATGTCCCGGCCCATAACTAATTAACTAACCTATCGATAATTATCTGGAAACTATAAATCAATCAATTAAACCAGCAATTAAACCAGCGACCCTAGAGAGATCTAGGGTTATCCCATTCTTTGACGAGACCTCCATCGATCGCTTCAGATCTCAATCAATCAAAGTAAGTAATCAAGCTTCGTCTCCATTACCGATCAACTCCTCCGCGCGCTCGCCTTGATTAATTATTGAGTTCGATTGATCTCGTTGCTGTTTCTGTGTAGTATAATTAATCATCATTAATTTGATCATGATGTTGTAGTTGTAGGTGATCATGGCGCTGCGCTGCATGCTGATGAGGGCGAGGACGACGGCTCTCCGGCCACCGCCGTCGTCAGGACAGACGTCATCTCCGGCGAGCATCCTCGCCGGCGCCCTCCGCTCCCCGGCGGCCGTGCTGATGACGCCCCACACATCGCCGGCGGCGGCGGCGGCGAGTTCTCGCCGCCATCTCTCCACCCTCTTCCGGCAGGTGCGTACATAGTTCGTCATTGATCGCTTGGCCTCGTAAATCGTAACTAATTATACTTTTCTCCTTCCATCAACAACGTGTATTAATTTCAAAAGAAATTTTAGGATACTTTGAGAAATTAACTTAAAATATTTTGTTACCTATACATCTTGATATCTTCTTAAGGATGATAAATTATGTTAGGAATTTCCCCAGCGATCGCTAGCAGGAAACCAGACGACACAACGCATGCGTACTGTGGCTAAGCCTGCAAATTCGCAGAACAGAGGAAACAGAGCAAATTTTGTGCAGCGCTTTTCTCAGCTGCTTTTCTGTTTACTTACATATATAAAGGAACGAATACAACGGAAACAACTAACCACCAAGACCACTTCTCACGCCATGCTCTAGCTGCGTCCATCCCCACAACCACACGACGTGATCCGAGCTCCCAGCACAAGACGCGGGCAACGAGCTAAACTCGGATACCCTCATAACAGACTCCACACGATGGCTATCACACAACACGTGAGCTCATGCGTTTATTCAGAAAAAAACGGAAACATGCAGATAACTAATCAACTAACTAACCGTGGCACACAAGATTACTGCTAACAAAACTCTCCCTAAGCTTGATGTGCCGATTATACAGGAAACATACCAATTTGTTCCCGCAGCTCCTGAAACTTGATTCGAGAAAGCGGCTTCGTCAGGATATCTGCAAGTTGCCCTTCTATGCCGATGTAACTCGGTGTGATTTCCCCATTCTCCACGGCTTCACGAATGAAATGAAATTTTGTTTGAATGTGCTTACTTCGATCGTGAAAAACAGGGTTCTTCATCAGGGCCAGAGCGGATTGGTTGTCCACCCTGAGATCGACGACTTCAGTTGCTGCATTCCTGAGGTCACCGAGGAGCCGGGCAAGCCAAATGCCCTGGCATGCAGCTGTTGCAGCTGCAATATACTCAGATTCACAGGAGGAGAGTGCTACAACTCTCTGTTTTTGAGACTGCCAGCTAACAGGATTTTTGCCGAGAAAGAAAATTACTCCTGTGGTGCTCTTGCGAGTGTCAATGTCTCCAGCCATATCACTGTCACTGTAACCCTGCAGTCCTCCTTCACCTTCCTTCACATAGCGGCACCCAAGATGAATGGTACCAGCAACATACCTTATGATGCGCTTCACTGCCGCCAAGTGTTCGTCCGTGGGTTTCTCCATGAAACGACTGACATAACCAACCGAATATGCAAGGTCTGGTCGGGTGTTCACCAGATAGCGCAAGCTTCCCACTAGACTTCTGTATTCTGTCGCATCAACTAGCGATCCTGCACTTTCCTTGCTCAGCTTTAGACATGGTTCCATCGGTGTTGCACAGGGGTTGCAGCCGGTGAGCCCAGCCTTCTCCACAATACGCGACGCATACGCTGCTTGCTTTAAAGTGATGATTCCAGCTTCTTGATGTACCTCGATCCCAAGATAAAAACTCAAAGGACCAAGATCACTCATCTTAAATTCAGCCTTCATCTGCTCTTTGAATCCCTTGATCATGCCACTGTCACCCCCGACAATTACCAGATCATCCACATACACACCGACGAGCAGTCGCCCACTGCCATCGCCGCGCGCGTACAGCCCATGCTCCAACGGGCTTTGCTTGAAGCCAAGTTTCTTCAGTGTGCAGTCTAGCTTGGTGTTCCAAGCTCTGGGTGCTTGGCGAAGACCATACAACGCCTTATCAAGCCTGTAAACCTTGTTCTCCTGTCCATCGATCTCAAACCCCGGTGGCTGAACAACATACACCTCCTCAATCAGTTCCCCATTGAGGAACGCTGATTTAACGTCCATATGATGCACCATCCAACCTTCCTGCGCAGCGAGAGCGAGCAACAAACGAATAGAATCAAGACGAGCAACAGGAGCGAATACCTCATCAAAGTCAATTCCAGCCCTCTGCACGTAGCCCTTTGCCACCAATCTCGCCTTGTGTTTGACGACGACGCCCTGAGCATCTTTCTTCAGTTTATACACCCATTTCAGCCCAATTGGCCGATGTCCCGAAGGCAGATCGACGAGCCTCCAGGTCTTGTTCTCCTCTATCGAAGAGATTTCATCGAGCATTGCCCGACGCCAATCCTCGTCGCGTTCAGCTTGAGCGAACGTTGCCGGTTCTTCTCCGCTCACCATCATCAGCTCTTCCTGGACCTCACGATTAGCGAGACCTGGCAGCATGGCCGGCCCCAGCACATTGTCCATCGTGCGGAAACGGAGTGGTGCGTCGTCGTGGTCTGCATCAAGATTAGCAGCTGCTCCAGTTGGTGGCGACACAAAATCAACCGCCGGCGCATCGCCATGCACCGAAGGTGTTCGGCCGGCTGTCGGTGAGTCTGATGGCGTTCGCGGCGATGATGAAGATCGAGCAGGCGGCTCCCCAGCATCTTGGCGTGTTCCTGACAGCGAGCCAGGATGGTACACCGTGGTGTACTCAACGACGAAGTCGGTGTCGAGATCAGCGGCCGCCTCAGCATCCCAGTCCCACTGGGCCGCTTCGTCGAAGACGATGTCACGGGAGATGTGAACACGCCGAGTAGCCGGATCATAGGCGCGATACGCCTTGGACCCCGGCTCGTAGCCGACAAAGATCATTGGACAACTCCTGTCATCCAGTTTCTTCAGGTTCGGGGTGGTCGTCTTCACGTGTGCCACACACCCAAACGTGCGCAGATGGTGCACGGCCGGCGGAACGCCATTCCACAGCGCGTACGGGGTCTTGCCGCCGATACCCTTGGACGACGACCTGTTGAGCAGATACACGGCGGTATTTATCGCCTCTCCCCAAAACATACCTGGTAGCCCCTTCGCCTTGAGCATACTCCGCGCCGTGCCCACCACGGATTGGTTTCGCCGCTCGACAACGCCGTTCTGTTGCGGAGAGTAGGGCGCCGTGAGCTCGCGCCGCATTCCCAGCTCGGCGCAGTACTCGGCGAACTGTGTAGACGTGAATTCTCCCCCGCGATCCGTCCGCAACGCGCGGAGCTTGCGTCCACTCTTCCTTTCTGCCGCCGCCTGAATACGCTTGATGGCAGCCGGCGCCGCATCTTTGGTGGAGAGGAGGGCGACCCACATGTACCAGCTGTAGTCGTCGACGAGTAGAAGGAAATAGCGGTTGCCACTGGGTGTCGCCGGCGTGATCGGTCCACAGAGATCTCCATGTAGCAGCGCCAGCGGCTCGTCAGACCGGCAAAGTGCCTGCCGCGGGAACGGCGACCTCCGGTGTTTCCCGGCGAGACAGGCCTCACAGACCTGATCAACCTGCGACAAACATGGTAGACCACGTACCAGCTCCTCCTTGCCCATCTTGCAGAGCGCCCTGAAGTTTATGTGCCCGAGGCGAGCATGCCAGCGCCACGCGTCTTCGTCGGCGTGTGCCGCCAAACAGACCAGGCGCGCCAGGTTGATGTCAAGCATGTACAGTCGCCCTGGGGTGCGAGGGATCCGGGCAAGCAGACGCCGCTGCTCATCCCAGACCCGCATGATGCCATCCTCCGCCAGCACTTTGAAGCCGGTCTCATCCAATTGCCCAATGCTGATAATATTGGCAGCAAGACGGGGAAGATAATAGGTGTTCGACAGAGTGCGGTGCTCACCATTCTTGCAGGCAAAGAGAATTGTGCCCCGTCCTGCGATCCGGACCACGGATCCATCGCTGAGTCGCACGTTCCCGGTGATGTTCGTGTCGAGGTCGGCGAACGCCATCCTGCTGCCCGTCATATGGTTTGACGCGCCGGAATCCATAATCCAGCGCCCGGGATCATGGTCAGCCACGTCGTCGAGCGCTGCAAATACTTTCATCTCCACGAGTTCCACCACGGCTTGGTGGGGCGGTGTGGGCGTGTCGCCCTCCGGCGCCGCCGCG